TTGGCCATAGTGGAGTTTGGAGTGTGACTGTTTGAGGTTGTGGACAGGTGTCTTTTATACTGATAACGAGTTCAAACAGGTGCCATTAATACAGTTAACAAGTGGAGGACAGAGGAGGCTCTTAAAGAAGAAGTTACAGGTATTTGAGAGCCAGAAATCTTGTTTGTTTGTAGGTGACAAAATACTTATTTTCCACCATCATTTGTAAATAAATTCTTTAAAAATCAGACAATTTGATTTTCTGGATTTTTTTTTCTCATTTTGTCTCTCATAGTTGAGGTATACCTAGGATGAAAATTACAGGCCTCTCTCATCTTTTTAAGTGGGAGAACTTGCAAAATTGGTGGCTGACTAAATACTTTTTTGGCCCCACTGTATGTCTTAACAGGGTTTGACCAAAAACCCATTCATTTTATAATGATATTTAACAAAGAAACGCATTGATTATTTGTATTTGGGAATAAGTAATACATAGTTGATGATCCTTTAAATCACTGTCATTTATACAAATAATTCTTTATTACATTTGCTTACAATCAACAAACAATAAATTGATTAGATTATTATTTAGTTTATTTGCTAAACTCTCAATTTGCTCAAGGCAAAGAGTGCATTTAATTACCTTTAGGCTTTGTAACGTTATCTGTATAGTTTGACAAAACAAACTGTGCTAGCTTTTTTCTGGAGCTATCAGCTGCATTTCAAAGTCTTCATCAGCAGGTTGCCATATGTGTTTTATACCTGAGGTCACATTATTACCTGTTTGCTGATGATGGTCATTATAAGCAGCTCAAAGTCCTTGAAAAACCTAAAAACTGTTCCTCTTGTCAAAAATGAACTTTCACAGTTAAATTCCTCCTAAAGTTCTCTCACCTTTCTGCCACTGAGCAGCGTTTTTGTTGCGATGGGCTGGCCCGTTATCCATGATGATCTAAACAGAAACAAATGATTAATATCTCAATCTTTAACGTCTTTTCATCCAGAGTTAGTAATCTCATCTCAGTTTGTGGCAGTATTTCAGCAGGACTCACAGAGTAATCGGGTCCCATGGCTCTGATGGCGTGGCCAGTGAGAGTAGCGATGGTAAACAGCTGAGGACACTTCTCAGTAGCTGCCTGCAGACACACAATTCAGAGTGAGAAGAGCAAACAAGGGGTTTAAGATTTACAAATACTGTATTAAAAAAGGGGTGCAGTGACCTTCTCCTTCATCTCACAGAGCAGGTCCACCATCACCATGCGTCCCTCAGCATCAGTGTTTCCCACTCGCACTCTGCGGCCCGCACGGGAGACCACCAGCTCATCGGCCACATAGCAGTCTGAGGAAACACACAGACACACAAAAGACGATGTCACACAGATCCTACTCATAGAAATGCATACAGCAACATGCACAATGGGAAAAAAGTGAATAAAACTGACCTGAACCGACACTGTTCCGGACCATGGCCATGGAGCCGATGACCTTCAGATGTTTTGGCTTCAGCTTGGCTAAAATCTAGAGAGCAGGAGTGGGTTAGGGAAGAAGGATAGCTCCAAATTTACAGCAGAGGCATTACATTTCCAAGTTTCACCATCCATGTTTAATCTGTCTCTTAAAATTAATCTCTTTTCACCTCAGATGCTTTTTGTTCATCTTGACTGAGAGCATTGTGATCTTCGCTCCCCCATGTTGATTTTTAGTTCAAGTCGTGAGGTGCAGACCTCTCCGAAAGTTTAATATTCAGCGGCAGAGAGGTGAGGGGGTGGGTTTGTTTACCTGGAAGAAGCCGGCCACAGCAGCAGCTCCACACTTGTCCCTGTGCATCCCGGCCATGAAGCCCCCGGCCTTGATGTCGGCTCCGCCTGTGTCGTAGGTGATGCCCTGGAAACAACCGCCAGTTATTTTTAAGCAGTCGGTCACACAGATAGAATACATGCTACATTTCTGACAATACTTAAACAAACCCAATGTTCCTTCAATACATTTCTCCCTGATTAGCTTGAAAGAAGTGCTGCAACTAAAGCTTGTTATGTTTGCTGAATTTATCATTCATAATTGTTTAGTAGATAAAATGTAAAATTAGTTAAATAAAGCCTTGATGATGACATGAAGACAACTTACCATCATATCAAATTTATCATATTAAAATGTACAATTTTTTTAAGGGACACTTCTTTGTTTCTATTAATAAATAACTTTTTTTGTATGTTAAAGCGGTTCACATGCAGCGGTCGGACAGTCTCCTCTCACCTTTCCCACCAACAAGAGCGTTGTCTGGATCGGCCCCTCTCCGCAGTACTGCAGCTTGATCACTCTGCCCTGGTGACGAGGGACACCTGTAGGAGGAGAAGCCATGATTAGGTGTGGGAACAGCTAAAATCATTTCAATAAGTGATCAAAACAGATTAAGTTTTCGTACTGTCGGCACAGCGGTTGACTGCAGCCAGACAGGGGTACTCCTTCTCCAGCACCTTCACGCTGCTCACCACTTCCACCTGGAGGTTACAAAAACATTGTTTACAAAAATTTGCTTTACATTAAAGAACAACCAAACTCCCACAAAATTGTCCTGGTCTGCAATTTAAAATTGTTTCTAAACATTTTTCCTGATTTTCTGTGTCCAGAGCGTGTTCTGCTCACGTGACAACAGCGTTCATGCGACAGGACTGTTAATACCTTGCTGAATAAAATGTTTACATATATGAAAGATAAATGAGACGAAAAGCCTACATGGAGCCAGTGATAAAGGAGAGCTGCTGAAAAAGGTATTTGAGTAAAGAAAGTGTTTGACAGGCTTGTGACAGTGTTATGATAAAGTCAACAGTGATAAAAACCTCTTGATAAAAAAAAATCAAGAGGCTCAGGACATAATGTTTCCTGCTACCTTCACAGGGCTGTCCTTGAAGAGTTCCTGGACGTATTCAGCGGCGCGAGGAGCGGCCATGCGTTCAGGGTCAGAGCCACCGATGTCCCGACAGGCCAGTCTGAGGGGGGAAAGAGAGCTGCTTGTGAACCAGGGAACATCACAACACGAGACACTTTAACAGGGACTGAAGCGTGTGACCCACCTGCCGCTCTCCAGGGCGTCAGCCAGCTCCACCAGCCTCTTCCCATGAGCCTCCTGGGCTGCCCACAGACCCAGGACACACACCTTGTGGTCGCTCGCTTTCACATTCCACTCCCTCACTTCCAGGGGCTGGGGGGGNGTGTGACTGTTTGAGGTTGTGGACAGGTGTCTTTTATACTGATAACGAGTTCAAACAGGTGCCATTAATACAGTTAACAAGTGGAGGACAG